TAAAAAATATATTTTATTGATTTTTTACAGAGAGGAAGGGAGAGGGATAGAGAGTTAGAAACATCGATCAGCTGCCTCCTGCACACTCCCCACTGGGAATGTGCCCGCAACCAAGGTACATGCCCTTGACCAGAATCGAACCTGGGACCCTTGAGTCCGCAGGCCGACGCTCTATCCGCTGAGCCAAACCGGTTAGGGCTGTAAATAACCTTTTATGGCATTATTCAACTTAAAGAAATTTCTTTCTATCCCTGTTCCCACCCTGCCATCTGCATGGCCTGAACATTGAACACTCCAACCCTTGGCCCCAGAACAGTGTAGCTAAGCTTGGTCTCTGCTCTCTAAGGCTCAGCTGCCCTCTTAAGTTTCTCTGCTTCTCCTTCTATTCTTCAGGCCCAGATTAGATCTGCGGTTTCTCCAGCGGTTCCTGCAGATACAAAAGGTTTTGTTTCCCTCCTGCTCATCACAGAACGCCTTGATGTTCCTGACCCTTTTGGGTGTGGCCCTCCTGGGTGAGTGAGTGGGTCCGGGCTAGAAGCGGGAGGGCAGCCCTGGTCTGGGGTCCCTTTCCTTCTCTCTGGGTATTGATGAGGCAGGGACTCAAGAGGGAGCCTTCCTCCTTTCCCCACCCCTCATCACTGATGTCTGACTCCCCCATCCCGCCAGAACAACTGGTGATCTACCAGGTTGGCTTGATCCCCAGTCAGTACTACAGGGTCCTGGGAAACAAAGACTTGGACGGGTTTAAGGCCCTGACATTCCTGGCTGTTGTGCTCATCGTCCTCAACTCCATGGTAAGGTCTCTCTGTGTGTCTCTCTCTCTCCAGCCTGGTGTGAGCGGAGTGCCCAGTGTCACTTAGTCCCTAGGAAGTAGGAATCAAGCTGTGGGCGTGTGTCCCCTGCCTTTTCTAGGAACCCTAGGTAGGGCATTGATCTTGCTATTGGCCCACTGGGGCCAGTTCCTCGAGTGTTTCAAGCTCACAGGCCTAGGCCACGAGGTTCTGGTGTAATTCAGCACTTAGCGGAAATGGTCATTGTTCTTTTCATTCCCAGAACTCTTGCTTCAGGATCAGCAGCCAGAGCTGCTGTTCCTCTGGGACTGAGGCTGTCACTCAGCTGGCTCCGTGTCGCACCTCCCAGCTTCTGCACCTGCTGTTTTCTTGCAGAATGACCTCCTTCCCCCACCTCTTGCTTACTTGGTTAATGCCTGCTCACTTTTCAAGGTGCCTCACCTTCAAGTCCTCCTCAGCTTTCTCTCCCATGTTTCCTCCACCAAACTCTGTCCTTTTCTCTTCATGCTTAATACTTCGAGTTGCCCTCTGCGGTTACACTCCTTATACCTCGTCATTGTCTGTTCCCTGGCTAGACTGAGCTCACTGTTATTTCCCCCGTGCTTAGCAAACAGGTGTCACATAAATGGGGGTGATGAGAGTTGGGGCTCTGTTAGGACTCCGTGAGGCTGTACTGCTCGTTTTCTTGGTTCTTAGGGAAGCCATCCCATCACACTTTGGCACTTTTGATGTGTCTTCGGTCAGTAAGTACCTATGTATACAGAGCCCTGTTCCATGTTTTGGAACAGAAAAGTACGAACATAAATGGACTAGAAAATATTGTTTCCAATCTCCAGAAGCTCACCTACTCTCAGACGAAGGCAGTACACTGTAGAAAGGGGACTAGAGGGCCTTGCGTTTGGTAAGCCCTTCGCTGTCTGGTGAAGGAATGAACATGTGGGTGAACGAGGAAGGAGAAAGTCCCGTGACTGGTGGCTTTAAACAAGAGGAAGTGCTGAGTGGGCAGTCAGTGGAGTGGCCTGGGCCTGGTCAGCAGATGCTTTCTGAGCTTTGAGCTGAGACCTGCAGGACGCCATTCTCCCTCTCCCTCCCTCCCCCTGCCTCCCCCACTGCACAGCTGAAGAGCTTTGACCAGTTCACCTGCAACCTGCTGTATGTGAGCTGGAGGAAGGACCTCACCGAGCATCTCCACCACCTCTACTTCCGCGGCCGCGTGTACTACACCCTCAACGTGCTGCGGGATGACATCGACAACCCGTAGGCCTCCCCGCTCAGTCCTCGCTGCCCTCTGCATGGTTCTGTCTACCTGGATCAGCCCCGGAGCGCTGCTGCGGCAGATCCTTGGAGATGACCCACAGTTACCTGCACACGTTGATAAGAGCCAGGGGGGCAGGGTGCTCTGCAGAGGAGGCCTGGGCAGGCTGTAGGGCCGAGAACAAGAAGCTAAAAATAGGAGCAGCTCCTTTTGTCCATTTCATATCCTGGGCTTCCAAATCAGGAAGCAGCCGATTTCTCTAAATCAGGCCCCCTCTGAAGAAAGTGTCCTTGCCAGAAAAAGCTAGAAAACCAGCTTTCGGATTTCTAGCAGTAAAAAATTGCTGTCTAGGATTTAAATCTGTATACTGTCACCTCCCAGTTAATAGGCCTTAAGTTCGCTAAGCCCCAGGTTCCCTTTCTGTAAAATGAGAAGAATACTTCCTATCTCAAAGAATGTAGTGAGGGTGAAACGATATTCGTGTAATACACATAGGCAGTGCCTGGGACGGAGCACGTGTCCCACTGTAAGCAGGCTGTTGTGATTTTACAGGTGAGGAAACAGGCCCAGAGAATGCAGGTGACACCCAGCGTCACGTCTCATTGGAAATAGGAGTCAGTGTGGCTCTGGTGGTGCGACGGGACATATGGGGTCTCCGCATACTCATTCCCTCCCCACTTGGCACCCCCCTTCCCCCCGCAAGCACTTTTTTTGCCTGAGATGACCTTTTCTCAGCTCGAGCTGAGCTCTGCAGCAACAATTTTTGGGAGGGTGCTGCTGCTTAACTCCAAGGCCTCTCTCTATGGCTCAACCCATAGAAGCTTCCACAGCCAGACAGCCCAAGTGGAGACAGGCTCATGCTCGTAAAAGAAATGGGGGGAGTGAGAGAAATGGGATCGCTTCCCTGATCATCCAGAAACTCAGCTTATCTACCCCCACAACTGGACCAAGACCCCGGGTGCTGGGCCTTCCGTTGTCCATTTTCTGAGGAGTGACCTGGGGCACCATAACAAGCAACTCTTCAGAACCCTGCTTAGGACCCTGGGGGTCTCATTGCTTCTGGAAAACCAGCCCTTGTAGGGGTCCGCGTCCCCCAGGGGCACTGCAGGGCGGGCGACAGGGAACTGTCTTAGTCTCTCAACCTTGAGCCCGGCTCCCTGGTCCAGTGACTCTGTGTTGTTGGTTCCAGGGACCAGCGCATCAGCCAGGACGTGGAGCGGTTCTGCCGGCAGCTCAGCAGCATGGCCAGCCAGCTGATCATCTCGCCCTTCACCCTGGCCTATTACACCTATCAGTGCTTCCAAAGGTGCGGTCCCTCTCGCCACAGCCCCTCCTCCGCTCCTGCCAGGTGTTTCCCCAGAGGCCCCTCGCTCCCACTAGCTCTCCCAGGTCAGGGCCCCAAAGGGGCTAGTCTTCCCTTCCTCCCACCTGCACGCCAATCTTTCTCACAAATGCCCGTGGGCCCGTGGCGTTCCAGTGTCACAGGGATCTGGTGCTCCGACAGCGTAGCCCGGGCACTGGATGCCACCGCACGGGAGCCGAGGCCTCACTGGGTGGCTGAGATCGAACAGGGCTGTCTGGAAGGGGGCAGGCATCAGGGCCGAGGCCTGCGGGTATATGTGGCGCCCCCACCATCCCTGTCTCTGCCTTTCAGCACAGGCTGGCTCGGGCCCGTGAGCATCTTCGGGTATTTCATCCTGGGAACTGTGGTGAACAAAATGTTGATGGGGCCCATTGTGGCGAAGCTGGTGCAGCAGGAAAAGCTGGAGGGGGATTTCAGGTGTGTCTCCGGTGTGGTGTTGGAGGTTTGAGGGCTGGGCACAGTGGTTAGGGAATGGGATCTGGAGTAAGGTGCCTGAGTTCAAATCCCAGCTGTGCCAGTTGCTAGCATGTGCTGTTGGCTGAGGTCTTTAATCTCTCTGAACTTGGTTTCCCGCCCTAAAACAGGGATGGCACTGCTGCTTATGGGGGAACTGTGAGGCTTAACTGAGATTATACATGAGAAGCACTGAGAACAGTGTCTGGTTGGTTAACATCATCATATCTTGGCCTTCTCGGTGCTTCTGTTTTAACCACCTGTTTCAGATGAGCCGATGGATTCGTCCCCTACACTGTGCTTCGTGGACGCCTCCTTCAGGCCCAGCCCTGGGAGGAGGAGGTGCTGTGAGCACCTGTCCTCTCTGGAGATAGGCAAGGGGCCACCCTGTCTAGGCCTGGGACCCCCCACTTCCCCCCCATACACATACCCCATGACAGTCCACAGGATTGGGGAGAAAGCTGCAGTTTCGAGGTGGAGCTGGACTCCCCTTTGTCTGGAGGTCTTGATCCAAGCCTCCGAAAGGGGGCCGGTACTGCCCATGGTAGCACACATTTTCCTCTGGTCTGCTCAGGTTCAAGCACATGCAGATCCGCGTGAATGCTGAGCCTGCTGCTTTCTTCAGGTGAGTTTAGTGGGAGTCGTTCCCTCTCCCTGATCAGGGCTGCCAGGGGAGATGGCAGAGAAGGAGAGCTGAATGGTACAACCCTCCCGCCATCACCGGGCCCTGGGGGCAAACGTCCTTCCACTGGGCTGTGATCCTCTCCCTGCATCTCACTGTCCTTGTCTGCCTCATCCTTTTGTTTGTTTGTTTGGTTTTTTGCCCCATCCTTTTTAAGCCCCGGGATTTGTTCCTCTCCGTGACCTAGCGTGGGGCCTACATTTGTTCCAAGGATGAAATGAGCGAATGCCTTCTCGTCCAAAGCCGCGCTGTAGTCTAGGCGGGAGTGGGAGCCTCAGGAGGTTGGGAGTCCTGCTCCCTACAACGCACTGTCCAAGTGAAGCTGTGTTCGGTCTCCTGGCAGGAGCATCGTGAAATCCCATTCCTTCCCTCAGGGCCAGGGAAGGCCTGTGCTGCCTCCTATGAGGCCGTGGGAGTCATTGGCAGGCAGGCCCAGAGGTTTGTGTGTAAGGAGGGGAGCTGTCTTGGATCACCTGCACTGGAGCCCTGGGACCTTTGCCCTTCTGCCTGTCTCTAGCAGTTTTCAGCTTCCACCACCTGGGGGCGCCAAGAATACAAGGACTGAGCTGGGTGTGGTAGTGTGGTGGGATGGGTCTGTGCTAAGTTTTTGGATTCTGCAGCTTCTGCTCATGAAGCGTTGGGCTCTGGGGGAAGCAGGTTGGTTCTTGGAGCTCTGGGTGTGTGCTTTTGTAGCCTCCGTGCCCATCTTTATGTAAAATCTGAATGCCCCCTCTGCCCACCCCACCTTTTCTGCCTGTCCTAGAAGCCCAGGTCACCTCCTCCTGAGAGCCTTCCTAGGCTGCATGAGTGCCCAAGCCTGTTTGTTGGCAGAGCTTGAAGACGCTCTGTGTACGCACTTTCCATGTTCCAGGTGAAGAGGGCAGATCATCTGCCCACCCTGAACCGGGGCTGTCTTACCGCCTCTGTCACACTGGCTGACTGGCACGGAGCCTGCCACCCAGTGTCCTCCTCCTGTACTTTCCTTTAACAATAGCAGCTGTTATCTGTTGGGTCCCTTCATGTGCCTTCATATTCAGAAATTCTCACTCTAGCCTACTAGGTAGGTTATTACAAGCTCCATTTTACAGATGAGAAAATTGAGGCTCCTAGGCTTAAGTAATCACCCAGCTAGTAACTAACCAGAGCCAGCGTTTGAACCAGGTCTGGCCAGTGGAGAGTTCAGGCTCTTTCTGCAGACAATACCACGTTGGATGAGTGAAGCAATGAGTGGGTGCTAGTGTCAGGGTCAGAGGTGAAGATCATTCGGATGAGCTTAGTCCCTAAAGGAGGGTGTGAAGAAGGACAGAGGGTCCCCGGCCTGGCTGAGCCTCTCCAGACCCCATGGACATTCCAGCCTTTCTCATCAGGGCTGGGCATGTGGAGCACATGAGGACAGACCGCAGGCTGCAGAGACTCCTTCAGACGCAGAGGGAGCTGATGTCCAAGGAGCTCTGGCTGTACAGTAAGTAGAGGGGACCCGGGAGGCAGGAACCACAGGACCGGGATAGTCCCCTCTCTTCCCCTCCCTCCCCTCCCCTCCCCACTTCTCTCCATACTGATGTGTTTGCTCTGCTGAAGGGATTAGCCAGGGGGAGCCACTGCCTTCACCCTGTGTGTCCTCAGGAGCATGAAGACCCAGGGAGTAGCTTGGTCCTGCTCCCCTCAGAGCACAGGAATGTTCCAGGCTCTCACGCAGTATGTCTTCCACAGTGGGTATCAACACGTTTGACTATCTGGGCAGCATCCTGAGTTATGTTGTGATCGCAATCCCCATTTTCAGTGGCGTTTATGGAGACCTTAGCCCCACAGAGCTCAGCACCCTGGTCAGCAAGGTGAGAATCCCTCATGATGACCCCTCACGTTCCTCCCCTCACCCCCCACCCCCGTTGGCCCAGGGCCCAGGGCCTAGGGGTCAAGGCCTGTGCTCACTGCTCCCCGTTCCATCCAGAATGCCTTCGTGTGCATTTATCTCATCAGCTGCTTCACCCGGCTCATCGACCTCTCCACCACTCTCTCAGATGTGGCTGGTTACACCCACAGGTGAGGCGGCACCCCACCTCTAGCTTCTGAACAAAGCTTGTGCACTGGGAGAAGTGGCTGAATGAGAAAAGGAGCAGAAAAACTCCTCATTTCCTAGTGAGCATGAGAGAAAAAGGCTTCTTACCTTTACCTGGGCCCCCAAACCCCTGCCTTGGGTTTTCACTTCTCGCCCAGGATTGGGGAGCTGGAGGAGACCCTGCTGGACATGTCCCTGAAGTCACAGGACGGCGAGCTCCTGGACGAGGGCGAGTGGGACTCACACAGGTGCGTACTCGGTGGCAGTGTGTGCGCTGGTGAGGATTCAGGCTCTGGGACTGCCCAGCTGGGCAGCAGAGTTGAGGGGAGCAAATGAAAGAAATCTGCGGCTTGTGCCTGGCACGTTGCAGACACTTACAGTAGGTGTTGCTCTTCTGGCATTCGTTGTGTTAATTTCCGCCGTCCCCAGCTGGTGGGAGCAGAGCGCACACACCTGCCTGGGCCTGAGATAAAATCTGCACAGTAGCCTCCTCTTCCTCTTTACCTCCTACTATCACTAAGCCCTGCCGCCCGCCCCTATCCTCCAAGTGGGGTTACATCCTGAGGTACTAGGGATTCGGAGTTTAGCATGTGATTTTGATGACAATTCAGCCCATAACCCCAACCCAGAGGTGACGTCCCCAGGAGAAAAGCTTGCCCTTGGCGGTACTGACGCTGGGTCCTCCCCACCCCCTCCCTTCTCTAACCCCAGGGCCCCGGGATGGCCAGCAGCAGAGCCAGCGGACACAGCTTTTCTCCTGGATCGGGTCTGCATCTCTGCGCCCTCCTCTAACAAGCCCTTAATCAAGGATCTGAGCCTAAAGATCTCCGAGGGGCAGAGCCTGCTCATCACCGGCAACACGGGCACCGGCAAGACCTCCTTGCTCCGCGTGCTGGGTGGCCTCTGGGCGAGCACACGGGGTGAGAACCAGCCTCCAGCCCTGACCCAGCCTTGGCTTGGTGTGTGTGTGTGTGTGTATGAAACCCCAGCCTTTTTTGTTGGGGCAAAGGGGTGAGAAGCCGTTACCTTCCCTGGAAGATTTCTTAATGGAGGTGTCATGGGCTCTGCAGGCTCAATGCAGATGCTGGTGGACTTTGGACCCCATGGGGTGCTGTTCCTGCCACAGAAGCCATTCTTCACCGACGGCACCCTTCGGGAGCAGGTCATCCCGGGGCCCCCCCTGCCCCCCTCCCCCAACTGGGACCTCTGGCAGTGTGCAGGCCTCGGCCCTAGGGAGCTGTGGCACAGAAGGTGGGGTAATAAAACGGCCTGTGCCCAGGAACTCCCTGGCTCTAAGAATACAGGGGTGGCCAAAGTAGGTCTACGGTTGTGTCGTTTTTCAGTTGTAATACACATAATACGTACAGTGAGTAATGACTACTAATACAAGAATAAACCCCATGTTTCAGGTACTCACAGCTGTAAACCCACATTGCCCACCCCTGTATTTTATTCACATCCATGAGCTGGGCCATCTGCTCAGAGCAACCCCGGGACAGGTTCACCTGTGGGGGCTGCGACCCAACGAGCACAGCGCCTGTTGAACACCAGGGTGGCTTCTGGGGGCCCTGCCCTCAGGAAACGCACAGCCTCTCCCCTCCTTCTGGGGATTGCCCTGGCCCTCTGTCCACCAGCCCTGCCTCTCCCACTGGACCCTTGGCCAGGGGGTCCCTTGCTCTCCTCGGGTGGATAGGAGCCTGGGCAGTTCCTGGGCTGATTCTGAGGGAGGGTGGGCTGTGTGCAGCCCCAGTGTGGCCTGGTCCTAGGCCAGTGTGCTTTCTGTTTTACCAGGTGATATACCCCCTGAAGGAGATCTACCCGGACTCAGGTGAGCTGGCCTCCTCGGGCATGTTCTCTCATGTCAGTCCTTCCTACTTTTCTGACTGCGGCCTCACCCGTGCCCTCTGGGAGAGGCCCCAGCCGGGCTGCTGGCTTCAGGCTGGGTCCTTTCCTCCTTCACTGTTTACTCGTGGGGCCTGTGCCCTGACCTCATCTCGTCCGTCTTCCCCTCCAGGAGGAGAGAACCTACTGGAGGAAGGGAGGTGATTCTTCCTTTGCCTGAACCTTTCCTTCCTAGGCCTGTAGCCTGGCCCTCTAGACCAGTGATGGTGAACCTTTTGAGCTCGGTGTGTCAGCATTTTGAAAAACTCTAACTCTGGTGCCGTGTCACATATAGAAATTTTTTGATCTTTGCAACCATAGTAAAACAAAGACTTATATTTTTGATATTTATTTTATATATTCAAATGCCATTTAACAAAGAAAAATCAACCAAAAAAATGAGTACGCATGTCACTTCTGACATGCGTATCATAGGTTCGCCATCACTGCTCTAGAGCCTCAGCCCAGATCCTGGTCCCCCGCCCTGCCCCTTGCCATGACGTGCCCACCTATCCTGGCTGCCCAGGAGGAGCTGACTTCTGAAGGAGGCCTGTCTGTTTTGCAGGTTCTACTGATGATGAGAGGATCATGAGGTTCTTGGAGTTGGCAGGCCTGGTAAGTGAGGGCAGCACCCTGAGGTCCAAGGCTGCCTGGTAGCACTGATCACTAGCCCAGGACTCGAAGTATGAGCCTGGGGCAAGGAGAATGGGAGAAAAAGTGGCTGAGGGAACTGGGGGCCAGAGAATGGGCAAAACGGGGGCACAGTCAGTAGTGAATTTTAAAATAATAATACAACTATTATTTCTTGTCACCATGCTCCCACATGTCTAAACAATGTAGTTAATAGGATATTCCTCTCGGCCTGGGGCAGACTGCCCCCACCTTGGTACGCCAGTGGGGTATGGTCTGTCTCAGGCACGTGTGTGGAGGGGACTGAGGGGGTTCCTCAGGGAGCAGGATGGGCACTTTCATGGACATCGCTTCCTCTGGGTGTGTTACAGTCCGACTTGGTGGCGAGGACAGAGGGGCTGGACCACCAGGTCGATTGGAACTGGTAAGTAGGGGGTTGGGATGCTCCAGAGCCATTTCCCCCAAAGACAGTGGGTTCTAGGGGTCCATTGAAGGGATAGAATGGCTTCTTGACCCCAAAGTCTAGGTTTCATGCCTTTGGGAGCAGAGTTTTAGCCTCACCTTGTGTGGGCAGCAGGGCTGTGATTGAAAGGGGAGGTGACGTCCATCTGTCCTGGGTCTGCCTCTCTGTAGCAAGAACCTCTTCCTGCCTAGACCCAATCTAGGCAAAGGCCAGACTGTATACTCCTTCCTCCAGTGGTCCTCTCGTTCCCTGTCCTCAGGTATGACGTTCTGTCCCCCGGAGAGATGCAGAGGCTTTCTTTTGCCCGGCTCTTCTACCTGCAGCCGAAGTACGCAGGTGAGGTCTGCCCTGTCAGTGCGCATGCCGGTGCTGTGTGTGCCCGCGGGTAGCAGCGTGTGTTCGTGCACACCTGGGCAGGGTTGGTATTGTAGGAGAGCTCGCCTGTATATGGCGGGCGTGTCTGTTCCTGCAGGAGAGGGTGGCAGTCTCTGCCCATGAGGCAGCAGTGCCTGGCCTCCGAGTGGCTCGGGATGTGTGCTTTCTGCCATCACTGCAGCTGGAGCTGCCTTTAGAGCTTGTGATTTTATGCTCTGCCAGCCATGAATGGGCATCCCCCAGCTGTGCCTGGCAGAGGGATGGCAGGTGTGGACTTTTCCAAGGACTGACATCCTGTGGGGAAGCAGGATTCCCTGGATTGAGTGGTCCCAGGCCGTGTCTGGTGCTGATCTATAGGAAGCTGAGGGGTTTTGTCCTTCTGCTGGCTGAACGCTTTTGAGATGGAGCTTGGCCACTGCTCGGTTGGCCCATCCTCCCTAAGGCTGGTAGGAAGCCAGAGCAGTTTTCAGCCTCCCGCTGGGTCCCCGCCGGAGGTGACTGTGGGTTGAAGGAGAAACAGGCAGGCAGGGGCAGTTCTCCATCTCTTGCCACCGGGTTCTGCCCTCAGTGCTTGATGAAGCCACCAGTGCCCTGACTGAGGAGGTGGAGAGTGAACTCTACCGCATCGGCCAACAGCTAGGCATAACGTTTATCAGCGTGGGACATCGGCGCAGCCTCGAGAAGGTACCTGTGCTCACAGGGTGGTTGAGGAGGAGGAAGAACCCAAAGGCTGGGCCTGGCTGGGGCCAAAGGCCCCTCAAAATGAGGGATGGGGTGGCAGAGGACAGGGCGCCAGTGGCCTCATGCTGTGATGCCAGGGCAGCCTGACCTCTGTGTGGTGGTGATCTCTTGTAGTTTCACTCCTGGGTTCTGAAACTCTGCGGAGAAGGAAGGTGGGAACTGACCAGAATCAAAGTGGACTGAAGCCAAGGATGTGGCTGGCCACTGAAAGGAGAGCCAAGCTCGGGGCATGGCCGTGCCCAGGAGACACCCAGAGGCCCAGGTTCGTCTCACAGGTTCTTTGCAAGGAGCGCTGGCAGCAGTGGCCCACCTAGGTGTGGCCTCCATGGGGTGCTAGTCCTGCCAGGCTTCCTGCTACCTCAGCCAGGGTGCCAGACATTTGAAGTGCTAACTATTTACTTACAAATTACTTCAGATTTGTTTTCTAAAGAAAAACCTAAAAGTGAGGACTCCGTAAGCAATGAAGGATCCGTGTGGAGAGAATGTTGGACTTGGAGTCAAGAGATTCAGAAATCTTTTTAATTGGTGAAATTATACAACAACAGGTTTTTAACTTGAATCAGCTATTTAAATCTTATAACTTCTTTTTTATATAAAATATAAACATTAAAAATATTTACAACTTTCCTTCTTTCTCTTTCTTCTCTATTATAAGATGAGCTTTTTAACTGAATTTCCAGACTTGTATTTGGGAGCCTAGAGAGAAGGGAGCAGCATTCTCCACAACACTGGCACCTTCTGTTCTTGGCTTTTCACTTTATTCCGTATCACCCCTTTTCCATTTGCCAAGTGTTCCTGAGGCACTAACCTTTGGGGCACTTTCTGTTGTTCGTTTGTTTGTTTGGTTGGTTTGGTTTTTGTCTTATCCCTCAAAAAAATAAGGTTGAGATTTTTTTTAAAAACTATGTTAGGGAACAACAACAACCAGTTGAACAGAAAAAACCCTGGAATCACAAAAGCATGAGATGGACAATTATTAAACCCAAAATCCTTTTTCTAGAACAATATTCTATTCCTCAAAATTCACTTGTCAGATTGTAACCTTCATGATTCTTGCCAGAACGCTATACTTGTTTTTTTTTAGTTTTTAAAAAAATATGTATTTTTATTGATTCAGAGAGGAAGGAAGAAGAGGGAGAGAGAGAGAAATAATCAATGATGAGAGAGAATCATTGATCAGCTGCCTCCTTCATGCCCCCTTCTGGGGATCAAGCATACAACGTGGGCTCGTGCCCGACTGGGAATAGAACCATTAACTCCTGATTCATAGGTCAACATTCAGCCACTGCCGGGCAACTCTGTACTTGTTGTACTGCGAATTAAGTTTTTTAAAAATTAGCTCAGTTTTTACATTTAAATGTATTTTTTAAAGAAAGTTTACACTTGATGTAAATAGAAAGTAACTCTAAAAATGAATCCAATGAAAACCATAGTGTTATGAAATTGCAGCTCCATATGATGGTCTACAAAGACTGAGCCTAGCCTGAGTCTTGCCCTCTGTATGAAAGGAGTTTTAGGGATATCATAGGCGTTAGACATACCAGCACCCAAATGAGATATTTCTCCTTCAGAAAATTTGAAAGATGGAGTGGGAACTAGGGTAGTAACTTTTTCAATATAAGACTTGAGGTTCTTTAGCCCTGGCCGGTGTTTCTCAGTGGTTAAAGCCTTGGCCCACACACTAAAGGGTCATGGGTTTGATCCCTGGTCAGGGGCACATACCTGGGTTGAGGTTCAATCCCTGGCTCTGGTCAGGGTGCATGCAGGAGGTATCCAGTCATGACAATCTCATATGGATGTTCCTCTTTCCGTCTCCCTCTCCTCTCTTCCCCTCCCTCCCTCCCCTCCACTTTCTCTAAAAATCAATGGGGGAGGCGGGGGGGGAGACAAGGTTATTTAATGCCTTATTGGTATCACTGAAAATGATCCTAGATGTGGGTTGGGAGTCCAAGACTTGGGGAAATGCAGCCCTGGGTAACTGAAGTCTCACCCTCCTGGCTTGACTGGCATGTAGGCCTTGGCACTGTTCTTACTCAGCTCCACCCTGCAGTGGTGCTAAAGCAGTGTGTTCAAACCGACAGGTCAGAGAAAGGCACATACATGGCCACAAGGGGATGCATGCTCAGAAAAGACCTGAGAACAACCTAAGCTTTCACCTTTGCGTGGGCTCTGGACTCAATCCAAGTAGACTGAGGCAGAGTTATAAACAGCCTGGCTAAGTGTTAAAGGAGTGCCCCAGCACAGAGCCAGTCTGTAAAGACTGGGAGATGTGTTTTCTTTTGTTTGTTTTCAGTTTCTGTTATTCAAGGAAATCATTGTCAAAATACTAGCTGAACAGATTTCAAGTGACTACATGTGACAGGGATGATAGTCTTTGCTAAAATATTTTTGGAATATGTCCAAATGAACAGATGACTGTAATCAAAACAAACAAAAAACAGCATACCCTGGGGGAGGGGAAGAAGCTGATTTTCATAGTTACCATATTATAATATGTAAATGTCCAGTTTTCAACAAACAAAACCCATTCAAAGGGAAAAAGATTGACAGAAACTATTCCTGAGGAAGCCCAGATGTTTGACTTACTAGACAAAGACTTTAAATCAACTGTCTTAAATATGCTCAAATAGCTAAAAAACCCTAGAGCTGGTTCTAGCTCTGGCTCGGGTGCTAGAGCTGGCGACTAGCTGTGGACCTAGAACTGGCTTTAGTGCTGGATTTGGTGCTACCGGCACTTCTAACTCGAACTGGCATTGGCCAAAAATCTATAACTGGCACAGGTTCTGGAGCTGGAAGTATAGCTGGGTATGACCCTGTAGCTGGTTGCTAGAGATGTCCAGGAACAGGCTTTACCTCTGAAGCACGCTCTAGCCCTCACTGGTTGTTAGAGCTGGGGCTGAGCTGGTACTTATCATTGGCTCTATCATTACATCTGGCTCTGGAGCTATTGCTATGGCTACTGTTGGTATTGGCTCTAGTTCTGGAGCTGGCTCTAGTCCTAGAGCTTGTTCCAGCTCTGGCTGTGATGCTAGAGCTGCTTCTAGTGCTGAAGCTGACACTCAGTATGGCTCTAGCTTGAGGGTAGGGGCTAGAGCTAGCCCTGGATCTAGCTCTTGCTCTGGAGCTGGCATTAGCTCTAGCTCCAGAGCTGGTGCTAGAGTAGGTGTGAGACCTGTTTTTAGCTCTAGAGCTAGAACTAGGGCTAATGCTGGTGCAGCTCTAGCTTTGGTACTGATGAGTTCTGAAAATGGCACTAACTATAGAGCTGGCACTGAAGTTGAATATAGCTCTGTAGCAGGCTCTAGAGCTAGCACTGGAACTGGGCTTAGGCTAGGGCTGGCTATAGCTATGAAGCTGATACTGGAGCTTGTTCTAGCTCTAGAGTTAGCTCTGGCTGTAGGTCTACAGTTGGAGCTGGTATAAGCTGGCACTGGAGCTGGCTCTGGAGAAGTTGGACACAGCACTCCAGGTCCAACCCAGGCAGGTTGGGGTACATGAAGGCCATCAGCTGTTTCGGGCAGAGAAAGTCTGGAGGCTGAAAGGAATTTTCCAAGTACTGGTCCAACCAGATGCCTAGGATGAAAAGATGGCCCTGGGGGTAGATGGGCAGGGAGCAGAGTCAGAGCCCTGGCTTTTCTTTCCACACTGCCTCCCTTAGCACCTCTGCAGAGGGTTGGACTGGCACTGCCCATTCAGGGACCAGTCCCATTCCATCCCCAAACCTACTCTGGCTGTCCAGGCAGTAGCAAGCCTGGTCACCAAGGGGGAGGAACCAAAGTTCCTCAATCCTAAGGCACTCTCCATAATGTCTGACAATTCCACCGCGGGGGGGCCTGGCATCTGCCTCCCCTGGCCTCCTTGCTCACTGGAGTGTAAACTCGGTGAGGGCAGGCAGGCCTGTGTCTGTGTGTGCACAGTGCTGGCTGGCACACAGTAACTATCTAACAGAGAAGGGACAGTCTGTCCTGTCCCAGCCTTCCCGGGGCCCTCATGTCACTTTAGTCTGTGGTGTGTGCGCCAAGGTGCGGCCTCACTCTCTGCTCACCATTTGTGATCACATCTTCCCATTGACACTCGTTCCAAAGGGCGGGGCGCAGCCCTTCCTGGGCCGTCATGCAGCTGAACATGCACAACGGAGGTTCAGAGCTGATTTGTGAGCAATCAGCTCACCATACCTCCTGTTGAAGGGGGAGGGAAGATAAGCAGAGCTGTGCAGGGGATGTACTGAGTCGGTCTGATACTTCCTCATGATAAGATTTAGGTTATGCAATCTAATCATGAGGAAATACCAGACAAACTCAAGTGGATGACCTTGGGGGCAGTGGTATAGTGTCAACCATAAAAATAAAGCTTTAAAAAACTAGCCTGAAATCTTCAAAGATGGCACGGTCATGGGAGGGAAGGAACGACTGCCTGGACTATTCCAGATTGGAGGAGACTACGGTGACTCAACCACTAAATGGGTGCGTGGTCCTGGGTTGGGCCACCACTTATAAAGGACATTATTGGAATGATCAGCATTCTCGGGAGTAGATGAAAGCATGGAATCAATGTCAATGTCTTGATTTTATTGGTTGTATAGAAATTATGTGGGCGAGTATCCTCATTTTAAGGAAAGATACATCTCCATCCACTGAGCCAAACCGGCCTCGGCCTCAATGTCTTGATTTTATTGGTTGTATAGAAGTTATGTGGGCAAGTATCCTCATTTTAAGGAAAGATACACTGAAATATTAAGGAGTAATGGCACATCATGTCCTCAACTTGCTCTCTAATAGCTTAGAAAAGCAGTAATATCTATAAGGAAAATAATAAGGCAGTGTAGTAGCTGTTCATTTTAAAATTAAAAGATTACAACAATTCAAAATTAACAGTTAAAAGAAAGTAACTACTAAAAGAATAAGTCCTTCCCACTGCCACCTCTGCCATACCAGGTGGATGGCCTGCATGCCCTCAGGAGAACTTGGCATTCTTCCAGCCATATCTGGAACCAGCCAGAACAAAAGGCTAGAAGAAAAATTAACATTTTCCTGGTTTCTGAAGTTGAATGTAGCTCTAACCCAGCGGTTCTCAACCTGTGGGCCGCGACCCCTTTGGCGGTCGAACGACCCTTTCACAGGGGTCGCCTAAGACCATCCTGCATATCAGATATTTACATTACGATTCATAACAGTAGCAACATTACAGTTATGAAGTAGCAACAAAAATAATTTTATGGTTGGGTCACAACATGAGGAACTGTATTGAAAGGGCCAGAAGCTTGAGAACCACTGCTCTAACCAAACATAATCACTCCTCAGGCCTCTACTGCTTACTTGGCGTTTCTGAAGAGGACAGAACTGGAGAGGAAGGTGTCGGTGGTAGGAGGGGGTTGACAAGAACCAAGTGAAATAAATCCCAGCAGATAGCCTGATGTCAGAATTGGGGGAAGTATTCCCGCAGGGAGCTAGGTGGGCAGTGGAAAGAGAGGTAATCATGTTATTCAGATTTTACAGCCCCTAATCGTTGGCAAAGAGCTTTGCAACTTCTGGGGAAATGGTGAACTAGGCTGGTGAAAAAAATTCTCAGTAAGATCAGCTAGAGATGACTAGAATATAATAAAAACAAGGTTCATCTATAACTGAACT